CACCCATCCATCCATCCTTCCATTCATCATCTATCCACCAACTTACTCATCCACCCACCCATCCATCCACCCACCCACCTACCCACCTATCCATCTGCCAATCCGCCCACCCACCCATGTATCCGCCCATCCTTGTAACTGACCAGCCAACCAACCCTGCAGCCTGCCCAGTGATAGACAAGGCGGGGCTTAGGGGAGTGGGAATAAAAATCACTGGGGACATGGCCCCCGCCCTCCAGGGGCACCTGTCAGTAGGAGGACATGACTGGTGACTCCTCTGACCAGAACCTGGACATGGTGTCCGTCCAGTGATGTGGGAAGCCTGGGGCGTGGTGGGCTCCCTAGGGCAGGCAGGCTCCAGGCCTTGGGGAGGGCTGGAGTTTAAACGGGGAGAGGCGGCGGGGGGCGGGGCAAGCAGCGGGAGCCGCGGGCTCCGAGGTGAAGTGCAGCCAGGAGCAAGTGGGCGCTGGGCAGGGACAGGGCAGGGACAGGGAGCCTTCACGGGTCGGCCAAGGCTGACCCTGCTCTGGGGACCCTAGTCTAAAAGTGGAGCCCAGTTCCACCTTCAGGGTCCGCACAGGAGGAGGGGCGCCACGCTGTGGCCAGGGGCTCTGCTCCTAGAGGAGACACAGCTCTGTTCTGGGAGAGGCAGGGGACCCTCAGTGCACACACCCACCTCCCAAGCTCCTCCTGGCTCTCCCCACACCGTCCTCCTGGACCCACTCTGGGAGGTCCCTTGGGGCTCCATGACGTGCCCTCCTTGGCCTCCCCCGTCCCCCCCCAGGAGTGCCATGTGGGACGTTCACCTTCCGGTGTGAGGATGGGAGCTGCGTGAAGAAGCCCAACCCTCAGTGTGACGGGCAGCCCGACTGCAGGGACGGCTCGGATGAGCGCCACTGCGGTGAGCTGCCCACCAGCACCTGCGCACGGACGGGGCCTCAGGGAGGCTGGAGGCCCCGTGGGGAGGCTGGGAGGGACTCCTGCCCTTGTGTCTCTTCCTCCGTCCGGTCTCACYGGCTCCCCACCCCCTCCAGACTGTGGCCTCCAGGGCCCCTCCAGCCGCATTGTGGGTGGGGCCGTGTCCTCCGAGGGTGAGTGGCCGTGGCAGGCCAGCCTCCAGGTTCGGGGTCGGCACATCTGCGGGGGGGCCCTCATCGCTGACCGCTGGGTGGTCACAGCTGCGCACTGCTTCCAGGAAGACAGGTGAGGAGGCCACACGGTCTAGACCAGAAGAGCTGGGGGCGGGGAGGCCGAGTGGGAGCTGGACACAGAGGCTGTTGTGACCCTTGCGACCTGGCTCCGGCTCCACCAGGAACCCCTGGCTGCTGGGCACCTGCCTCAAGTCCCGTGCTTCCCTTTGGTGTCTTTAAGTTGGGTCTGTGAGTCATTCACTCACTTAGCAATGTTTGCTGTGCTCCTACTACGTGCCCGGGGCTGAGCTGGAGGCTGGGGATTGAGCAGAGGATGGGGCGGCCTGAGCCGGGCATCAGCCTTGACACCCCGGCCACAATCTGAGCTGGGAAGGGGGTGGTAGGCAGGGCAGGAAGCCCCGCATCACTTTCCCCGGCCCCTCTGCCCTCTTTCCCGTCTGTGTGGCAGGTGGAACCCTCTCCCGCAGGCCCCTCGAGCTGCAGAGGCCCGCTCTCTTGTCCTCTGCTGGGCAGGGAGGTACCTACCCTCTCTGGGTGCACTCTGACCACCAGGCTCCCTTGAGCCCCTCCCAGGCGCCTCAGTGCCCTCAGGGTGAAGGAAGGCTGTGGACCTACCCTTCAGGGGGCCTGGCAYCGCTCGCTGATTCCTCCGCACAGATCCACCCCTCCCCACAAGCAAGCCGAGTTCCCGGGGCCCTCTGCAAAGTGGGCACACACGAAAAAGGAAATATTGTCCAGTGCTTGGCTAATACTTCACCTGCATTCTCCTGGGGACATGAGAGTGGAAAAAGCCATTCCCATCTCACAGATGAGGGCGTGAGGCCTGGACAGGCGCACTTGTCCACGGAGGGAAGAGGCTGGGGCTGGAGCCCAGGCCAGGGCAGCGCAGGCCAGCGCTCAGCTCCGACCACCACCGACCAGGATGGGAGGGCAGGGAGGGCGGGCGTGGGCCAGGCGTCCCAGGTGGGAAGCTGCTGTCTCAGGGCTCTCTGATGCCAGGCAGCGCTGAGCCACACCTTCCCCACCCGCCCCGAAGCATGGCCTCCCCAGCGCTGTGGACCGTGTTCCTGGGCAAGGTGCGGCAGAACTCGCGCTGGCCCGGCGAGGTGTCCTTCAAGGTGAGCCGCCTGGTCCTGCATCCGTACCACGAGGAGGACAGCCACGACTACGACGTGGCCCTGCTGCAGCTCGACCACCCGGTGGTGCGCTCGGCCACCGTGCGCCCCGTCTGCCTGCCCGCGCGCTCCCACTTCTTCGAGCCCGGCCTGCACTGCTGGATCACCGGCTGGGGCGCCCTGCGCGAGGGGGGTGAGCAGGGACCCGCGGTGGGCGGGGCACGGGGTGAGGGTAGGTCTCCGGCCCCATTGGGGCCTGAAGGAGGGCGGAGCAGGTGCCCCAGGGCCCCGCCCCCAGGCCTCCAGGTCTGGGGTTCAGTCAGGCTGGATTTTCATCATTTAATATGACCGGGCCTCTCCCTTCCCTTTGGAAAGGCTTTTAAGGAAAACTAGGTCATGGGCGTCTGTGTGGGCGAAGGAGCAGGCCGGATGCCACCCCTCCTGCTCACGCCTCCTGCGCAAATCCTGGGGGCAGGGCATGTCGGGGAGGTTCTTAATGTTTAGCATTTCCCACGTGTAGACTGAATTTGGGGGACGTGATTTCATATAGTCCACCCCATTCAGGGGAGGGTGCAATGGCTCCATTTTAGGAATGAGGAAACTGAGGCCCAGAGTCACTTAGCAGTTGCTCAAAATCACCTGGCCAGAGGGGATTGCAGACTAGAACCCAGGACTGCCYGCCTCCAGGGCCCTGGTTCTTCCTGCCGCTCTCGGAAATGGGCTTCTCCCTTCCCGACCTCAGTGAGGGGAGCTGGCCCTCTCTGGAGCCCCTCGGTTTTGTGCACAGAGGATCAGCCGGCATAGCCACAGCCTTGCCCTCATTTGGTGGTGCTGGCTGCAAAATGTCTACATTGATCGAYGGCATGGAGGCAGGAGGGAGGGAGGGTGCCCCCGCCCCCGCCGTGCTGGGGATGGAACCCAGGGCCTCACACATTCTAGGCAAGAGTTCTACCACGAAGCCACATCCCCGGGCCCCTAGAAATATTTTAAAGATGAGGAAACTGAGGCTCAGGTGAAAAGTCGCATGTCCTAGCTGCTCACAGAACAGTGGCAAAGTTAGGCTTGGTTCACTGATTTGTTCAAGCAACAACATAGATGAGCACCCACTACACACCAGACATCAAGCTGGGCACAGGGATCGAAACTGAAAGCACGTTCTTGGAGGAGGGGTGGTGTGGCTGACATGGACGTGGAGGCGCAGGGTGGGAGGGCTGGGGCCTGGAGGAGTGGTCAGCAGCGTCCAGGGGAACTGGAGGTGTTCTCAGTGAAGGCGCAGGTATCAGGCTGGAAGACTGTGGGACAGACCAGCAACCAGCCAGGGGGACGGGGTGGGGGGCAGGCATTGTGACCTGGCAAGGGCTGTGGGGGGACAGCAGGGGTTTGCAGGCCACTGTGGGAATCTTGGGCCACTGGCTCCTCAAAMGCATTTCACAACCACCTGGGGGCGTCAGAACCCCAACACTTGGGCCCTGCYCCAGACGAATGAGACCAAGTCGCTGAGGACTCCAGTGCTGGTCAGGGATCCCGGGAGGTCAGGACAGCCCTCCCGGAGAGGCTCTGGGCTGGGAAGGGCTCGCCTGGGTGGGTGCTTCGAAGCCCCACCAGGGKGCGCAACAGAGCAGGGCCAGACAGGCTTGGGGGCTTAGCCCCGCAGAGGAGCCAGGACCAGGGGATGGCAGAGCAGCTGGGTGCAAGGAGACGGTGGAAGGTGAATGGGGCTTCTGGGCACTCACATCTCTCCCCCGCCCTTGGCCCCTTGGCAGGCCCCACCAGCAACGTCCTGCAGAAGGTGGACGTGCAGCTGGTCCCGCAGGACCTGTGCGGCGAGGCCTACCACTACCAGGTGACACCCCGCATGCTGTGCGCCGGCTACCGCAAAGGCCAGAAGGACGCCTGCCAGGTGACTCCCGGCCCCTGGGCCAGAGGCAGGAGGGTGATGCTCATGTCACCGGCCATTTGCCACCTGCCACCCAGGTCATGGCCCTTCACGCACATCAGCCTGCTGGGGCCTCAGAGCCTCCCAGCAAAGATGGCTGTCCCCACCTTATAGATGAGGAGACSGAGGCCCAGGAGGCTGCCCCTGCCCGCCACAAGGCTGGGGCCCGGGTGGTACAGTGGACACTAGGAGGCTGGGAGGGTGGGTGAGGGATGAGGACTCAGCCACATTCCCACGACAGGCAGGACCCCACGGAGGCCAGGCAGGGCCGGGCTGTCCCCAACAGTTTCCAAAGGAATGTGCCTTCCTATCACCTGGCAAACCTTACCCTGATGCGCCTGCCTCCTCTCTCCCCCTCAGGGTGACTCTGGTGGTCCCCTGGTTTGCAAGGAGCTCAGTGGCCGCTGGTTCCTGGCAGGACTGGTCAGCTGGGGCCTGGGCTGTGGCCGGCCCAACTACTTCGGCGTCTACACTCGGATCACAGGAGTGATCGGCTGGATCCAGCAGGCACTGGCCTGAGGGGCTGCTGTGTGCCCAGTGGGGGCCATCTCCTGCCTAGGACAGAGCCCAGGGCGCCCCCTGGACAAGGYGTCGAGTATTCTGGGGGCAAAGAGATGGCATCCTGCCTCCCAGCCTGCTCCCTGCCATTTGCCCCAGTGAGAGGCACAAGGGGGCAGGAGGCCACCAGCAGGGGCCAGGACTTCCCGAGGGCCCAGGCCCTTCACCTTGATCAGTGTCCTCTCCTCACTGTGGACTTGGTGGGGAGGGGCTCAGCAGCCAAGATGCTGGCTCCTAGGTCCCTGGTAGGAGTATGAGACCCCACCCCAGGCAGAGGCCACCTGGGTGACACTGGTTCCACAGGGCAGATTCAGCTRAGAAGCTTCTGGTGTCCCTTGGGGGTGAGGGTAGAAAGTGCCTGGTTGGAGGGGACCCTCAGAGACTGGGAGACTGACTGCCAAGTGGGACAGCAGCCACCATAAGCCAAAGGGTGGGACAGCCCCAGCTGCAGGGCCCCGAGCCACCTGCCTGCCACTGGGGCTTCCCAGCCAGACCCCCCCCCCCCCCCCCCCCCCCCCCCCCCCCCCCCCCCCCCCCCCCCCCCCCCCGCAAATAAAGCCCCGGCTGGCCTCGGCCCACTGTCGGAGTCCTGCTTCCTGCTCAGCCTGCTTGCCAGGGTTCCAGAGGGCCACCAGTGGGACAGTGGAGGCCACCTGCCCAAGCCCTGCGAGAAACCCCAGGGAAGCCAAGTGTAAAGACCCTCAGGCCGGCATCGGAGACCGGATAAGGACAGAAGGGCTCCTTCCAGAACCTGAGGGGAAAACCAAAAGGCTGAGTGGGGGAGGAYGTCCCCACTACGGGGCTGAGCGGAGCCTGGAGCCTGGCCTCGGCCTGCCCCTCCCTGCGGCCTTGAGGACGCCTGTCATGTGGTCCTCCTGCGACCACAGATGCCCTCACAGTGGGGCGCAGTGTGGCCGGGGAAGCTGGGACTCTGGAGGCCAGGCAGCTGGCCTGAGGGTGTGAGGAGCGGGGCTCTGGGGCTCCGAGTGGCCAGGGCAGGGCTGGGCCTCCCAGGCCAGGGAGGAGCACCAGGCAGGGCCAGTGCGCAGGGAAGAGAAGCTGTGGGCCAGCCGGGCTGAGGGGAGCCCGGAGGGCCAGCGAAGGGCTGGCCCAGGAAGCTCTGACCGGAGCCTGACCTGCCCCCTCAGAACCGGTCAGCAGAGCAGCGGGAGGCGTAGAGGCTCCAGGGCAGGAGACACCATAAGGCAGAACCGCCAGAGGAGCCCAGGGTGGAAAGCAGGGGCCTGGATGGGCAGGGCAGTGGGGATGGGTGCGGGTCACCGGTGTGCCCTGGGGCAGTAGTCAGGAGCCCAGAGGCCGGCTGGGGCCGTGTCAGCACAGAGAACTCTCCGGAAGCTTGGAACTAGAAAGGGAAGTGTGTGTGTGGGGGGTGTCCATGTGGGCGAGGCCACGGGAGGGGGTTGTCGTGCGGAGCCTCTGCTGGGTGGGAGTGCAGGGGCCAAGGCTCTCTGGCTCTGGGGTGAACCGGACAGCAGGACTCTCCATGGTGCTCTGCTGGTGGGCCACTGTCTCAGTCCAAAGCCCAGTGCGAGGAGGGCCTGATGCTCTTTGAAAAGCCCCCACGTGACTCTCAAAAACTGGACACAAAAAGGGAGCTCACCTTCAGAAGTGTGTGTCCCCGGGGGACGTGGTGACATCCTCCAGCCTGTGGAGCCCWGGCCTGGCATGGCCTCTGCCTGGGGGTCACTGCTCTACAAGGGGCGGGACTTGGCAGGATGAGGGAGTGGAAGGAGCTGGCTGGGCAGGAGAGGAGCCGAGGGCCAGAGCCTCGAGGAGGGGGGCAGCAGGCCCGGTGTCCACGTTTCCCAGGGCCTTGGGGTCAGGGCTGGTGGCAACAAGGAGGGGCCCAAAGGTGGCAGGCCAGGGGAGTCAGGGGCAGAGGGGCTGCCTGGGGGCCTGTGTGCTCGTGGGGCATGGGAGGTGTCGAACGAAGGCCCTGGGCAGAGGACCTCGCCTTCCCCCACCCGTCCTCCCCCACAGTGAGTGACAGAGGGGTGGGCCTGGCCTTTCGGGAAAGCCCCTTCCTCTCAGTTGGTCCACAGCTCCTGAGTTCAGCCCCATCCCCAAAAGCGGCCCAGAGGGAAAGGGAGCCACAGGCCGGGCTGTTTCTTCAGGTTTTATTCCACGGCGGCGGGCGCAGCTGAGGCCAGTGCCCATCGCAGGCAGTCACAGTGCGGAGGGGCCCCTCGCTCAGCCCCATCACACCCAGACCCTGCCTTGGGCAGAGGGAGGAACGTCCCCCTTCCCTTCTCCCTGCGTAGCCACTTGGGCCCCATGCAGGCCAGGGCCCTGCAGCAGCACACGGGTGGGCGCGACACGGCCCAGGCGAAGGCCAAGCTGCCTGTCCCTTCCTTCTGACAGGGCCAACCCCGCACCCGTCACCCTCACTACCTGAGTCTCCATGTGCATGTCATGCTTGGGGCTGGCCAGGCTCTCCCAGCCAAGGGGGTGAGGGAGAGCAGCCCTGGCTCTTAGGGCCCCCGGGGACCTTGTCCTCGCTGCACCCCACAACCACCCTGTGTGGGGAGGTTCCCCACTGGACCCCAGAAGGCTGCGGCTCAAGGAGGTGACGTGATGGGGCCAGGAGGGAGCACAGTCACCGTGCCACAGGGGCCCCTGGAGGAGGAGGGGACAGAGGGTGCTGGGAGACACAGCTGGGCAGCGCCACACCGAGGCCATGGGCAGGTGGCTCTACCCAGGGGTCCCAGGACCCACCTCAGGCCTTGGGAGGTCCCAGTGGGTCCCTGCCTGGGCCCTGGAGGCAGAGGCAAGTCACAGCCCCGGAGGTGCAGGCAGAAGTGGCAGGGGACAGAGTGCGTCTTCCTTCCCAGGCCCGGGGCCCACCCCATGGTACAAAAATAAAGGATTTCAGATGGGAACCCCAAGTCCCTGCAGGTGATCTGGGGCCTCACATCCGGGTGTCTCTGGCTTGTAATAGCTAGAAAATAAGAGGGGGAAGGGCAGGAGGATGGGAGGTGCGGGCAAAAACCAGGGTGGGGTGGGGGTGCGAGGAGGGGTGCGCAGACAGGGAGAGGGYGAGAGGGAGGCCGGGGTGGGCAAGGGGGGAGAGAGAGAGGCGAGTGAGTGGCGGCTGCTTCTGGAAGAGAGGAGGCCGAGGCCCAGAGTGAGTCAGAACCCAGGAGGAAGCAGGGAGGGCGGGGCCGGGCCAGGTGGTGGCTGCTGGGGGGGCCAGGCTGAGGGCGGGGACGGGGCSGGGCTGGGAGGCACAGGTCACTGCTGTCCCAGGTGAAAGGAGTAGGAGGGAGCGGCCGCCTGTCCCCACTTTATAAGCCCAGAGAGGGACAGCAACTTGCCCAAGGTCACAAGCACACAGATGAGACTACGTGGGGACGTGCGGGCCCTGACCAGGGTGTGGCTGCCAGGCTCTGCTGCTTCTGCTGGCTCCTCATTGGCCAAGTACCGCATACGGCCTGGCTTCTGTCCCCACCCAGAAACAGGACACTGTGCTACACAGTGACGCTGGAGCTCCTGGCCATGTGGGGCGAGGCCAAGGCCTGTGGCTTCAGCTGTCCTTCCCTCCCCAGCCTGGCCTGGTGCTGCCCACAGGAGGGTGGGCGGTCCCACACCCTAACCTCCTCCTGCTCTCAGAGCCTCACCCAAGGCTGGGGCAGGCTGGGAAGCTGGTGGGTGGGGAAGGTCAGCAGAAAGCTCGGCTCAAGTCCAAAGACAGGACAGGAGGCCCTCCTTGCTTCCACCCCTCCCTCCAGCTCCGCCAAGCTACAAACCAGGGATGGCAGCTCTGGGGGCGGGCGAGGGGCCAAGGAGAAGCCCTCACTGCCAGCTCAGCCTCGGGTCTGAGGGGGCGCAGACGGGAACCTGCAAGGAGGAAACGTGAGGGGCGAGGAAGCGGCAGGGCAGGGCCGGGCAGGGCCGGGCCTGCRCCAGCCTCAGAGGTGCCCAGCGGGGCCGGCCGGCACAGAGGCAGCCACACTGCGCCCCTCCTCCCCAGGCTGGGGGGCAGGAGGTGCCAGGAGGGGCGAGGGGGACGGCAGGCAGGACGCTCTGGGACGCAGGGCCAGGGGACCCGGGGGGAGGGCACGGGAGGCCGGGGCCACRTCGGCCCCAGGGTGGAGGCGCGAGCAGGCAGAGAGGAGACCCGCGCAGGGGCAGAGGGGGAGGAGGCAGGGAGCAGATGAGATCCAGGAGGAGGAGGAGGTGGATGGAGATGAGGCAGGACCTCCAGTGGGAAGCAGAGGAGGAGGCGGCGGTGAGAGGGAGGGAAGGTGAGCGGGATCCTGAGGTGACTGGGCTGCAGAGAGAGCRAGAGAAGGGCGTCACGGCCAGGCCAGCAGCTGAGCTAACCCTGCGCCCTGCCGCCTGGCAGCGGCTGGAGGGAGGGCGGAGGCTCCCAGGTCTGGTTAGCGGCCATCCTCCTGGGGGCGGGCTGCACCTTTCTCCTGTGTATCTGCCTCCACCTGCACCTGGGCCACCTGCACCTCCTCCACCTCCTCCTCCTGCTGCCGCTGCTCCTCCAGCTGCTCCTCCGCGCTCTGTGAACCAGCCGGTGACCAAGGGAAGAAAGAGCGTAGACACTAACGAGGGGGCCARGCGGGCTGCAGCTGTCCCCGTGGACCCCTACCTCGAGCGGAGGGTGGGCAGAGTGAGGGGCATCTCAGGAGAGAGGGCTGCAGCCACAGAGGCTGCGCCATCGTCTCCAGTCCCCCGGAAGCGTGGGGTCGGCCTGGCTGCTGGCTCCGAGTGCAGCTGGGACGCGGGCGGTGGGGACCCGTGGGTGGGAGCGGGGTGTCTGCAGGGTGGCTGGGAAAGCCTTGCTGAGGAGGGGACCAGAGTGGGAGGCCTGGGAGGCCCCTGGGCAGCACCGACCAGATCAGGGAGGCCAGCAACTACAGGTGGCATCCCAGGCCCGGGGCGCCAGCCTGTGGGTGGGTGAGGTGGGCAGAGGAGTCACAGCAGGACAGGACGGCAGACAGACAGACAAGAAGCCAGAGCTCAGTCTCCACTGCACAGGACAGGTCCCAGAAGGGACGCTCCCTCCTCCTTCCCGGCCTGGCTTGTGTCGGCTCCGCCAGCCGCACCAGGGCCCGTGGGAATTCCCACCAGCTTGGCTCCGGGCACGGGACCCCCACTCCAGCCCTCCCCACACAGCACCAGGCTGCCAGGTGCGCCTGYGGAAGGCCACCTCCTGCCAGGGTGGAGCAGGGCTGGTGCCCATGGGGCTCCCAGAGCCCCTGGTGCAGAGCGCCTAGCAGGAGGCCTTGGAGAGGGCAGGGATGTTGGACTTGGCTCCCCTGTCCTGGCCTAGGCTGGCTGGACATCAGCCCTGGGCAATGAGCTGGCCATCTGGGTTCCCAGGAGTTCCAAGCATGAGGCAGCGAGAGCAAGTGGCCTGTCCGCACCTCACAGAGAACACAGCAAAGGTGCTGAGAGGGGATGGCACTTCTCCAAGGTTGCACGGACACATACCATGCCCTGAGCCCTTGGTTCAACTCTGCCTCACGCCCCAACACCTGTGGCATCGTGTGTCCCTGGCTGTGCCCTTGGGCGGTCCCTTTGCACTACTCCCAGCCTGGGCCTGGGTAACGGGTGTGAGCAGACATGTCCATGGCATGGGATGGATGGCATGGGCTGGACCAYGGGGTTATGGAGGTGCAGCAGGAGGGAGGGAGCAGCAGGGATGGCGGGAGGGCAGGGGCAGGAGGCGCCACCTTCACGCAGGGCCGCGGCTCACCTTCGCTTTACGGCTGGCCTCGCAGCCCGGGCCATGCGGGGAGCTGTGCAGCTCCTTGGACACCACGCACAGGAACTCGGCCTGGTCCTCGCTGCCGTAGTTGTAGGAGGAGCCGATGTTCACCAGCTGCCGGGAGAGYGGTGTGGGTCGCACCCCCAGCCCACCTCAGCCTCCTTGCCAGCCTGGCTTTCCAGAGGGCACCTGGGCAGGAAGCTGGGGATCTCCTCCCACCTGTGCCCCTCCCGACTTGGCTGGACCTGACCCCTGGAGGAGGGTGGCGGTGTCACCCCACCCCCAGCCCAGCCCAGATCCAGGCATCCAGTTTCCAAAAGCAGGTGGAGGCCTGTGAAGCATGCTGTCCCCTGATCCCAGAGTGGCTGCAGCAGCCCCAGGACGAGGCTGGGTGGGACCCGCACGGCGAGCGCCACAGAACAKCCCCTTCCCTCTTGGAAGTTCCGAGAACCTGCGCAGCTGCCAGGCTCTGCCAGGCTCTCGGAGGCTGCCTTGGCTCAGGGTCCCCAGAATCCGCACACCCCCTTCTGGCCGACGAAGTCCTTGCACTGACGGGTCTCCTTCAGCTCTCGGGGACCCCCACTCAGAAGGCAGAGAAACTCATCAGCCCACCCCCGGCTGGGAAGGGGAGGGGCAGGGTTAGGACCTGGGGCCCCTCGAATCCTGTCTTGGGTCCAACAGACCTAAGTAGCAACCTTCTAGCAGCTGGCATGATGCCAGGGCCTGTGGGCGGTCCCAGCCAGGGCGAGGAACCTTCCTGGTGCCCTAATTTTCACGACCGTTCTGAGAAGGAGGAGCCACCTGCCCACCTCCCTGGGGACACCGAGGACAGGAGCTAGGCAGGCCAGGGTCAGAGAGTGTCGTGCGGGAGGACTCGGGGAGCCAGCGTGGCTCCTCACTGTCCAGCCTTCCTGGTCTTGGGTCTCGGGCAGGCTGCTCTGGGGTGTGGGCATGGGCTGGATGGCATGGGCTGGACCGGGGGGTTGTGGGAGTGCAGCAGGAGGGGGGAGCCCCCGGAGCCCCGCACCCTTTCCGAGGCCTCCAGTTGCTTTCTGACTCTGTTCTCTGAAGGCCCGAGCGGTGGACGCCAGCCACTCGTCCTACCAGAGCACACTGCTGGGGACAAAACCTCCCCACTGGATGGGAGGCATCAGAGGCACCATGACTACCCCTGGGGACCCCCCGTGGGGCTTCCCCGAGGGAGTGACGCCTGTGACCCGGCCTGTCCCCTACAGGACCCTGGAATCTGTGCCTGTGGATCTGTCCCAGGAGGTGTGGCCAGGCTCCCTGCACAGGAGCTGCAGCTCGGGCCACAGACTTGCTCACACCGYGGCTCGGCCATCACCTGCTGCCCCAGGACTGAATGGACGCCTAGGGGTGCTGAGGCAGTGCCTCCCGCCCGCCCCTCGGCCACTCTGTGCCCTGGGCAGCTTTTCCTAGTCTTGTTGACTTCAAAGATCCCCAGGTGGGGCTGAGGCGGGGGACACAGGGCTGGCTGTAGGAAGAGAGGGCCCCTCGCTGGCAGCCGGGGCTCCTGCTGCCCCCACCCGTGCACCCTGCCCACCTGCTCAAAGCGCCAGCCGTCAGACATGGTGGACACCATCTGCGTGAGCTCCTCCTCCTGGCACTGCAGCACGCGGTACACGTGCTTGGGCGGCACCTGTGGGCAGAGACCCCATGGACGGCACCTGGGGACGCACCCCCACACCCCCCAGGCATGTGCCCTTGAAGGCAGATGGGGGAGGAGAGGTGGAGGGAGCCGTGCCTGAGCACCTACTGCGTGCCAGGGGCTCAACACGTGTGATCTCGCCCACTCTTCCGCCACCCCCTGCTCAGTTACTCGTCCCAGGTCACCCAACTCGAGGGTGGCAGAGCCAGCACTTGAGCACAGAGGTCATGAGAGGGAAGGCGGGCAGCGCATGGGGGACATTCTGGGTCATCAGATGAGCCAGACCCCCTAGGACACTCAGCCTCCCCACCTCAGTCTCTGGGGCTGGGAGGTGGCCCCTCTCCACCGTCTCCTGCAGACCAGTTACCGAGGCCTGGGGTCCAAGCTCAGAAATGCCAGCCCCGGCAGCCAGGGATGTGTTCACGGAGGACCGCCTGGCCCAAGTGCACGGGCTGACCTGCCTGGCCCCCTGCAGGCCCCAGACCTTCACATCAAGTCCCTTCTACCTGTGGGGACAACACTTGGCACTAAATTCCACAGGAGGAAATTAAGGCCCAGAGAGGGATGTGACTGGCCTCAGGTCACACAGAAAAAAAGCCAAGCAAGGCAGGGACAGAACCCAGCCTGGGGCTGTGTCTGTCCCCCACCCAGGCTGCTCTGCCTCTCCCAGCCCCTCCTCCACCCAGCCCTGCTTCCCACCTGGGTCACCGTGTAGTCCTTCTCCTCCATCCGGTCCTTGATGATGCGGATGAGCGGGCCGATGTTGTAGAACTCCGCCTCCTCCAGCACGCCTGGCAAGAGCAGCAGTCACTCCTGCTGCCCACGCCCCGTCCTCCCTCGTCACCCGCCCCAAACCCACCTCCTGCTCTAGGCACACTCCCTGCCGGGTGGGCCACGTGCTAGGGCCAGGCCCTGTGCTCAGGTGACATCCTTCATGGCACTGAAGTCTCAGACCAGAAGTGAGCACTCATCACCTCCGCTGAGCACCGGGGAAACTGAGGCTCCCAAACAGGCCACAGCCAGTGAGCTAGGTCCCTCCAGCGCTCAGCACCGAGGGCTCTGTCCCACTGTAAGGGAGCGTGCTTCTATAAGTGCCCCCAACCACCATCCTTCACAGTCTGCAAAGCCCCCATGTGCACCTCGCAGTGCTGGGGACATGAGAAAAGCAGGCACCACTGTCCCCACTTTACAGTTAAGGTACTTGGAGGGACTAAGCAAGCCACTCCCCACCCGGCCCAGGGAAGTTGACGGAGCGCCCAGGGGCTGGACCTCCCTAAGGTCCTGCAGAGCAGGTCACCTCTGGTCCTTTCTTTGGCCTCTGGGATCCCTGGGGACAGACAAGAAGTCAGCTATCTGCAACCTGGAAGAGGGCCCTCGACAGACCCCGACAGATGGCACCTGATTAAAAAATCCCAGCCTCTGGAACCGTGAGGAACGCGTGTCTGTGCTTTAGGAGCACCAGGCCTCAGCACCCAGGCCTCAGTACCAGGCCTCAGTACCCAGGCTCAGCACCCAGGCTTCGCACCAGGCCTCAGCACCCAGGCTCAGCACTCAACATACAACTCCAAATGACCAACCCACCCTGCTGTCTCCAGGCCCTAACAGAGACGTGGTCAGTAACTGTTGTGTGACAGTCCCCCAGCCATGTCCTGGTGGGGCAGACATCTGACCCTGCATTGCGCAGCCTCAGGGCCAGCTGCTGCGCCCCCTCTACCACGGCCCGAAGAGGCCAATGTGGCTGTGGCCCCCTCTCACCAGTGGGGGCGCGGAGGCACAGGGAGCTCAGTAAGGTTCCCAAGGTCACAAAGCTAGACAGTCCTCTCCGATCCATCCCCAGTCCCTGTCTGAAGGTGCTGGAACCACAGAGCTCAAAGAACCCAGGAACCTGTCAATAGGCGCTGGCTGTGACGCAGCTGTAGCGCTCACCTCCCCTCTCTGGGGACAGGCCATGCCCAGGGTGTCTGCTCCCCGGGGCTGGGGCTGGGGCCAGATCCCTGCAGCAGTTCTGAGGTTGAAGCCCTGCTCTGTGGGAGACATCAGCCTGCAGATCACTGGATGCCACAGGGGTCAGCAAGGGGAGATGGTGGCCCAAAGTGGAGAGGGACGGGCCGACCCAGGGCCCACAGGTGTAGGACTCATGGCAACCACAGCCCCAATACCGCTCTCCAGAATACAGGTCACCATCCTTATTTTAGAGACACCCATGGAGAAGTGGAGGAAAGTGACGTGTCCAAGAGGGCCCAGCTGGTGAGCTGGCCAGAGCTACACCCTGTGCCCCAAGGAAAGTGGACCTGGCACCGGCCGCAGCTGCTGCTCCTGGCTAGCGCCTTCTAAGTGACCATTCTCCAGACGCGGCTTCCCCACTGTCAGGCCCCGACGTGGGTCTGGGAGGGGCCAAGCCCTGCCAAGGAGCAGCAGCCACCCCTGCCTCCGCCCACAGCCCTCTGTGCTGCAGAGGCTGCAGGTTTGGGGAAGAGTCCCTGCCCCACCCACCTGCCGGCTCCAGTCCTCACCAGGCCGACCCGGCGATGGCGACACCCGATGCCCAGCCAAAGAAGCCACAGCTCTTCCCATTGCCATCCCCACCCTTCCCCCACCCCAGACTCTGCCCACACCTGGCTTCCCAGGAGGCCAGGGCAGAAGGGCAACCCTGCCAGGAAACAGGCCTCGCCTCTATCTCCTGTGTCTCCATCACTCCCTGGCGTTACCCAGGAAAGCCCGGGCCCATCAGCCTGAGGGAGACCCTGGGAACCGGCCCTGCCTGGGGGAACACAGCAGGAGGCAGGTGCCCACTGCAGCTGGAAGACAGGGCTTTGGGTCTCTGCGGAGGCCATGGCAGGTAGGCTGCAGAGGGCAGGGCCAGGACATGGGCCCCAGGCCAGTCCCCTGGACCAACTCACCCTCCTCAGCCATGTCCTTGTCCAGCACCAGCTTGCCATGCCGGAGGAAGTTCAGGATGGGCCCGAAGTAGGTGGGGTCACGGTCAATGAGGTAGGCCCCCGTTTCATCCTGTGGAGGAGAAGGCACAGAGTGAGAAGAGTGAGGCTGTCCCCTGCCCATCTGGCACACCAGCTCTCACTAAAGGCCAGGGATAGGACTGCGGGGAGCAGGAGAGAGAGTGATATGATGTGTAATAAAGCTCGAGGGTCAGACGGACCTGGGTTCAAATCCTGCCTCTGCCTTTTCCAGACTGTGTGACCTTGGACCAACAATTTGACCTCTCTGAGCCTCTTCACCCTACCCCGTAAGTATGGGTCACCATGAGCACACAGGGAGAGAGGTCTGAGTGGCACCTGGCCCAGTGAATGTCTTTCTTAGAGGGCCCCGTGAGGCGGGCCCCCTGTTCACCAGGTCCCTTGTCTTTCAGGGGATGTTTACAAGTTCCTAAAGGAGCGGCCCTCCCATTGGACACTTGCAGCCTGCAGGGAGGCAGGGCGGGCATCAGGACAACTCTAGAGAGGTTGGGGACTGGCCCAAGGTCACAGCATCAGAGGGTCACAAAACAGGGGACAGGGAACCTGAGAGATCATCTCCAGACCAGCACCTCTGGTTACAGAGGAGGGGGCTGAGCCCAGAACACGGAAGGGTCTCGCCCAAGGTCATGTTGGAGGTTTGCAGCAGAGCTGAGTGGGAGCCCAGGCATGGTGTCCTCTGGGCCAACCGCCTCCCAGCTGAGAAAGCACCCCAGGACTCCTGTGCCGGCTCCGGGACCCCCCCCCACCCACCCCCCGCCACCCACACCGGGAAGGAAGGTGTGGGCAACTCCGCGCCCAGTGCGGGAGCCCTGCATGGAGTGCAGCCCTCCCTGCCGGCGCCTCGGCGCCTCGGCGCCTCCCGGCACCCCCGAGGGGACAGCCCCCACCCAGGGCCGAGCTCCAGGCTCCAAATGGCCGCGGCCTGCGTCGTCGCGTTGCCACGGCAATGGGCACACCGCTCGCTCTCGGCTCCACTTCCTCCCCACGGCTGCCAGTCCCTCCCGCCTCCAGCTCCGCGGAGAGCAGCCCATCCGGGCCCCACGCTGGCGGCCGGGCCGGGTCGGAAAGCGGGTGCGGGTGCGGGGTGCGGGGACGGGGAGCGGGGACCCCAGCCCGCCCGCGCGCGGGCTCACCCGGTCCGACTGCAGCTCTTCGCCCTGGCACAGGCGGCTGAGGAAGGACTTCTGCTCGCGGCACAGCGTCTGCCGGGTGGTCAGGAACACGGTGCCCCCCACGTTGAGCCGCACCCACTTGCCCCAGCCGCCCGCGGCGCGACCGCCCGCCCCCGCCGCCGCTGCCTCCCGGGCCTCCATCCTCATCGCTCGCCGCGGTCTGCAGCCTCCGCTCGGCGCCAGCGGCCCCGCGCAGAGCTTGCCGGGAGTTGTAGTCCGCGCCGCGGGGCCGCCGCGCCCCGCCCACAGGCCCTCCGCGCCCCGCCCACAGGCCCCGGGAAGTCCCTGGACCACGTTTCTGTTTAGGGATGTCAGGTCCTGGACCCTGGGGAAAAATGACACCCCAAGCAAACAGCCTCCCATTTGTTTCCCTTTTTATGGCCTTTTTCTTTGTGCAGTCCGGGCTCTCAAAGAGCTGACAGAGGAAACTTCTCCCTGGAATTCCTGTGACATTTACCGTATTCCCTAATCTGTGTGTGTAGGGGGAATACGGGGGTGGGACCCAGGGCCCCCCACGTGCTAAGCCAGGCTCTTCCACGGAGCTGCACCCCCAGCCCAGTTCCAGGAGTGGAGGGTGGGCTCGTCTTCAAGCTCAGCATAGTTGGACTTGAGGTTGGTGAGCGCCTTCAGTTCGCCAGGTGCTTTGGGTGCACAGAGGTATCATTCATCAGTCTCTGGATCACTAGGCTCATTTTACACATGGGGCCACAGAGGTGAAGTGACCGTGGACTCACGCAGCTCTTGAGTGGCAGGCCAGCCCAGCCCGGTGGGTTCCAGGGGCGTGGCCACCACTGAGACCCCCCTCTCCTGTGTGTCTGCTGTGAGTGGCAGTGATCTCTGGAAGAGATTCCCCGGGAGGAGGAGTAGAGCTCTATCTAGACCGAAGCCAGTTTGAATTCTGGCTTTTGTAGGATGCCTTGGGAGAGGTCCCAGCGGTGGATAAAGAGAAGTTGAGCTGAGTGCCCTGGTTCTGGTCTGGAGCCAGGTCAAGGTGACTAGGAAGGAGGAAGGCAGGATGGGGGGGAGAGAGGTTGGGGAGCCAGCAGGGGGAGGAGGAGGTGCTGGCCACTGTTCCTGATGGATGCTCTGAAGAGCAGCTTGGGCTCTGGAGAACAGGGGACTGTCTGCAGCCTTGGGAGTGGAGGAGACCCCTTCCCCAAAGAGCATGTGAAAAGTCCCAGACAGAGGGGCCCAGGGAAGGGCTCAGGGGATGAGAAGGGGGATCCAGTGGGGGAAGAGAAAAGAGCAAAGTCTGGAGGAGGGGGAACCAGAGCAGTCCAAGAGCCCAGTGGTGGGTCAGTGTGAAACAGAGTCCACTGGAGGGTGAAAGTTGGGAAGGTCAAGTTCAGGGTCCCAGGGCCACAGGAAGCCAGGCTTGTCTACTGAAGGCTCCTCCCACTCCCCTCCTGCCCTCAGGGGCCCCCTCTCCCTGGCCCCAGCACTGGCCCCCGCAGGCACAGGAAAACCTGCCTCCCCTCTGAAAGGATCTCATAGCCAAGAACCAGGTGCAAGACACTGGGGCCCTAAACAGAGCTGGCAGCTGCCACCACAGCCCTGCTCCTGTGGGGGCACGGCCTGGGGGAGGAGGTTGGGAGGGGCTGCAGCCCCCTGTGGAAAAGGACCCCTCCCTTCCCTCCTACTGGTTCTGCTTTCAGCCGTCGCTGTGTTGGCTGAGCCCCAGATAGGCGCCAGACACTGAAACCTGGGACTGGAGATGCCAGAGGCTGTCACTGTCCCCAGGAGGGTTTGGTTCAGGAGACGGTGTGAGAGGGCTAGGTGGAACATGGTCTCCAGGTAGCCCTGTCTGTGACCATGCACTGTCACGCCCCATCATTTTTCATATGCACCCCCCACCACACGTTTTCTAGGGTGAGGGGCCCAGCTCCCGGACTAGGATGCCACCCAGCAGCCCAGCTTTCTGGCTTCCTAGCTGAGTAGCCTCGGGAAAGTCACTTACCCTCTCTGAACCTCCGTTTCCCCATCTGTAAGTGGGGAACAATAATAGTACCTGTTCGTTCCCAAGCCTGCCTCGAGTACAGGGCTTTAGAGTTTCAGATATGAGGGCATGTGACAGGGACCTGCCACACTGCTGGTGTCAAGACCAGTGCCTGAGCTGGAGGCTGCCCCACGGGCCAGGGGTGAGCCAACTCTACCACCTCCTCCTTCCTGGGTTGGGAGGGGAGGGCAGGGAGAAAGGTCCCCTCAAATGACCCAGGCTCCAAGGTGGATGACTGCCACTTCCTCACGCTAAGCCCCCGTGACCTAAAATGACCTGCAAGTCACTCTGCTTCCAAATAGAGCCGAAAGAACACAGAATGTATCCAGCGCATCAGGAATGCCACCCGAGCGCACGGCTGCTCGTCCTGGTTTGAACCTCCCGATCCTCTCGGCTGCATCTCCACATCTAAGTGGCTGGCGTCACACCTGCTGGCAGTTCCCTGGCTGAGATGTCACTCATCCCTGCTGGCTTTGCTCTCAGCTCTCTGGCCCAGGTTCAGGATGTCAGAACATTCAGGTTCCCCTCCACTTCTTGTTTTGCTCCTCAAGTCCCTGCCTGGGGGCTGGTGTGGGTGTTGCTGGTTTTGAACAGGCACCTCTTTGGGTCACCTGAGGGGAGAGCGGTGTATCCAAAGAAGCATGCGTTTTGACCTGCCTCAGACATTGCTGCCTAACAGCAGCTTTCAGAACTCCGTGGGCTGGGGTTTGAGTCTCTGCTCCATAACTTCCTGCAACACCGGGTTAGTTTGGACTCAACTTGGTCGAACCTCACTGTACGGCATCTGCAGTACTTAGATCATCAATACTCAGAGCTATTACATGTAGTCAGTGCAACCTCTTAGGACTGTGCATCTACTGTGTGCAGGTTCTGGACTTAGAAGCATCATTGGCAGTGAGGACAAACTCTGGTTTATTCACTTGAGTGTTTGTAACAAGATCTTCCGATGCTTTTACCTAGAACTTCCTCCAAGAGTTAAGGGACGTTCCCAAGCCTGCCTCGAGTACAGGCCTTTAGAGTTTCGGATATGAATGAGACCCAAGCCCCCTTGAGCTCTTTTAAAGAGGATCCACAGCGTCTGCACACTCCATTGATGTGGCGTTCACATCACCACATGGTGCCTTTTCCCATCTGCGTAAAGCTACAGCAGCCCTGGCGGCAGTGAGGCTGGGTCTGCTGGGCCGGGCTGGACCACCGGGGCCCGGGTGCTGCTCGCGTCAACCAGCAGAGGGCGCTCCATGGGCTCCCCATGGGTCTCCACCCGGCCACGAGTGTGGGAGCCACAGAGCTTGGCCAGCAGGGGGCGCACCGGCCTGTCCCGCGCCTAGTGGAGCCGCTGGAGGGGCAGCAGCCGCCTATGCGCCAGCCCAGAGGGTCTTACTTGCGCCTGTTGATTCCCTTTTCAGGACTGGGGCAGTGACAACTGGCCTCTTATCAACCTCTCCAGACACCCACTGTCTCTCTGGCTCCAGTGAACGCCATTCCACAGCTTGATCACACCACACCCAGAATCTAAGGTCTGTCCAGCTGGATTCCAGCTCCTGCTGCCAGACATTCAGGAGCTCTGCATCCAGCGGAGCTGCACCAAGCAGTTCCCAGGGTGATTTCTTTAATCCTAACTCCCCAGGGTGCCCTAGCTCTCCCCTTCCACCTTCCACAGCCTCAACTCCCCCCTCGCAGGATTTGGGATGAGGGTAGGAGAAAAGGGAAGGGCCGGAAAATTTTTCCTTGCCCGGCCTCCTTGGTTCTCCGGAGTGACTTTGCCGATGATTTAGGATGGCTCTTTTTAATTTTTTGTACCAGGGATGGAACCCAGGAGTGCTTAACCACTGAACCACATCCCCAGCCCTTTTTATTTTCTACTCTGAAATAGGGTCTGGCTAAGTTGCTTAGGGCCTTGCCAAATTGCTGAGGCTGGCCTTAAACTTGTGGTCCTCCCGACTCAGCCTCCCCAACTTCTGGGATTACTGGTGTGTGCCACCACACTCAGCTGGCCTACAGGCCTGGGGCCCATCCAGCCTCGGAGTCCCCAGAGTCCAGGACTCACATGTCCCTGTCTGCAGATGGCTCCTTTAAGCCCCTGTCATCATCCTGTGGGTTGAGGAGGCCCTCCAGCCATGTCTCCCCCCGGGGGCAGCCTCCAACAACTGCCTCGGTGGAAAGCCCTCTGCCCCCAGCCGCTTCTGGGGACACCTCTCCTGTGTCTGCCGAGAGCAGAGGCACAAGCTTCCTCAGTGTTCCGAGAGGCGTCCTTAACCACCTCATTTGTGGGAGCTGTTCTAGATGGTCTAGCACCTTATTTTAGAACGTGGACACAGCCAGCACTTTCATTTCTGGCTGAAATGAAACCAGAAAAATCTGCCTCCAAACAATGACGGAATCTTTTTTTAAATTCTGAAAATAATTTTAGGCTTAGAGAAAAGTTGCAAAAATGATCCCCAAAATTCCCCAAATGTTATTTTTTCATTCTCTCTCCCTGAAACTTTCCTGTTTTTTCTGAACTGGTTTTTAGTAAAACTACAGAATTAATGACCTTTTGTTCCCCAAACCCTTCAGCCTGGTTTCTGAAAAACAAGGACTCTCTTCCATAACTCTGTCGTGCATTGATAAAGGCCAGGAAATTAATGTCAATACAGTTCCTTTAGCTCATCTATAGATTTCTTCAGATCCGCCTTGGTCTGGCTACAGTCCTTTGCAGCGAGAGAAGAAAAGACGAGAAGCAGCGAGGATCCAACCAGGACCCAAGCACTCAGCTGTAGGGTCCCTCATCTGGAACACTTTCTCTTTCTTTCTCTTTCTTTCTCTTTCTTTCTCTTTCATCAAGAGTACACGTGATTCGTTTGGTAGACAATGCCCTCAACATGGGATTGCCTGATATGTCCTCAGAACTAGATTCCTGACATGCGGCAGGAGTGGTGCCGAGTCCTCAGTGCGCCATGCTGGGAGGAACCTGAGGTCGGCTGGTCCCATTATTTGTGGGGTGCAGGCCGATTGCCCAGGTGAGGTGCTGTCTGTCAGGCTTCTGAGCTGTACGAGGATTCGTCTCCCCTTTGAATTAATCAGTATCCTATGAAAAGGGGCAGTGAGACTATGTCAATGTTCTGTTTCTCATCAAACTAACTCATCTCCTCGTGAATCTCAGTAKTCGCTGACTATTCAGGCCTGAGGCGATCATGACTCT